TGAGAAGAGCAAGAATTGTTTGGGTGATATTTTAACATGTAGCTGGTGATGTAGCAGATATATACTATGCAATCTCAGGGTATTCTAATCAGTCCACATCAGACTCCAGGAAAAAACAGACTAGCAGTAAGTAAACCAGCCATAAATTTGAAATTCTTGGTGTAAGCAATAGTCCAGCAACCAGATCGCTGTATATGTACTGTATGCATTATGTGTTCTTGAAATATGAATAGGAGAAATCAGCCCATGACAGAACCCATCGAAATGTATCTGCCAATACATGGTTGTTACTCAATCCAGTCTTTTTTAGAATTTAGCAGTATATGTTGCTGGAAGCAATAGAATGTGTATAGTGAGAATCAAAGTTCTTCCCCATGCCTGTGCTAATAAACATCGAACTGAAAGTTTCATGGGTCCCATGTATTATTACATAAATATGCAAAATTTATCAGCAGAGAAAGAAACAATTCAATTTATTTCAGCACCATGGAACATCTATGGTAATAGGTCTAGCCACAAAAATCCTGGATAGGGTTGTAAATGAACAACCGCACTCCCAGTTATAAAACAACATTTTAGGACAGTAAGCGGGTGGTAGTTTCACAAGCGCCGTGCTGTCTGACACATTTCCAACATGATGCCTTCCTCTGTATTACATTACAGGCATTAACCACATACTGTACAATCAGCAGTATACTATAGGGAACAATTATCAATTCTGTCACACAGTATGGCAATGCTAAACAGAAGCAGTGAGACAGACTGTGTGACAGGTTTACTACAAGGTTATAGCTGGAGTCATAAATTCCTCCTCCTAAAGGGCTAAGTTATCACTATGACAGAACAAAACCTGACCCTGACCACTTTTTAATTGTATGTCTATTTAGAGTAAAAATCATCTCCAGTGATAAATCTGTCTCAGGACTTTGGAAATCTGTGGCATTTGGCTGCCCAGGATTATAGGGACACAAATACACAAGAAAATGCCTTTATAGATATTGCTAAATGAGATGTGCATCTAACTGTGTTGCCAATTTACTCAATTAACAAGGAAGCAAAACTATAAAGAGGGCAGCACAGTGGCTAAATGGTTAGCACTTCTGCCTGGCAGTACTAGGATCGTTGGTTCGAATCCCAGCCACAGCACCTCCTGGAGTTTGCATGTTCTCCCTGTGCCTGCGTGGGTTTCCTCCGGGTACTCCGGTTTCCTCCCACACTCCAAAGACATGCTGGTAGGTTAATTGAATCCTGTCTAAATTGGCCCTTGTATATGAATGTGAGTTAGGGACTTTAGATTGTACACCCCTTGAGGGTTAGGGACTGATGTGAATGTACAATATATATGTAAAGCGCTGTGTAAATTGACGGCGCTATATAAGTACCTGAAATAAATAATTATGTAAACCTCACATTAAAATGTGACTTTAGCTAAAACTTTTTCTTTTTTTTTTTGTAGTGGAAAGGGTTAGAACCTCAAATCAACATTTTATTTCTGTCTATTCAGAAGATTTTCCTTAATTTCCTGTTTCATTGACAGTATTCTCATTAGAAAAAGAAAACCTCCAACAGGGTCAGACAGCAATACAAGTTGATAGGGCTCTGGCAATATGTTTTCAGTGTTGTTCCTGTTTCAGAATTCTTTTCACTTCCTGTCCTAGGGGAAGGGTTTCCGGCAGACAAATGTACATAAATCTCCCTAGCGAGGCCACAAAGAAAAAATAAAAACGTTCCCTATTTTATCCAAGCTTTTGGATGGAAATACAGTATGTGTTAAAATATGTATTGTGGGTGTTGGGGTCTCCTAAAGGAAGATCCAGAGTTTTTGTCACCCAGTAACAGCTGTGTCATTTTAGGCACCTGAGTTTAGCTTTTAAATAGACAAGTTAGTAGAGCCGTGGAGGACAATTTGGCCCATAGAATGAGCAGAGAGGGGTACCTGTAAAGGGGTTAGAAGCAAGACTTTGTCTCCAGTTATGGGTTCCCTAGCTGGGAATATGTTCTAGCGGATAGCTGGAGCTGTCTGGGGAAGACATGTTAGGAGTAATTTCTTATAAGAGACTAAGTATGCACTGGAATACCCTAAATTTGGAGTAAAGTTTACGTTTTTCTGACAAAACCCAACTGGGCAATCTTGTGTGTGGGCTGGGGCAAGTGAGTGTCATGTTTTTCACTCATAGGCTTTGCCTGGGTATCTTGGGACTTAGGATCCCTGTGATGTGAATAGGGACCCATAAGAAGCCAGTCTATGGACTGCGTAATGTGGGTAGGTGCATTGTGGTGCTGTGGCAGTAAACACACTGAGGCCCAGAATGCAGTAACCAATATATTGAAGAACTTACAGTCAATGGAGTGGATAGTCAGCATTGAGTGGGCCCAAACTGAACACAGTGCTTGCCAAGGAGGGTGGAACGTGGCCTGGCTGGTCCAACCCAAAAAGGGGTTTTTGGTGCTGAAGACATGAGTCTTGAGCTTTCCCTACTTGTCCAGATCCTTTTCCTGTACCTAGTGCTTACCTTGACAGACTGGTATGCTATCCCTACACTAGCTACTTCACAAATACATGCCAAAACCTACGGGCAGGGTTTTAAAAAACTCTGCATGACCCAAGATGGCTGCAAGGGTCACCTGGATGCAGCGTAGCCAACCAGAACGTTGGTCCAGGAACCCAAGGGAATCATGGAGAAACAAAGTTTCCCCTCCAGCTGCACTGCTTCTCTGACCACAGATAGTCCAAAAAACTCCTGACCCCACTGGGTTTATGACTGCCAGCCGTGACCCTATGGGAAAAGCATGAACCAGGCCTGCCATTTGGTCTCAAGCGTATCTTAAAATAACAGAATCACCAGCCTTAAAGCAGTAATAAACCAAGAACAAATCTTTTTGATGTGAATGTACTATATGTAAAGCACTGTGTAACTTGAAAGTGCTATATAAATACCTGTAATAAAATAAACAAATATATTGCGGACTAAAATTACTTAAATGTGATGGCTGCATTAGTTTTCTTTTTTCCCTCTTCATTTTCACCTGTTATATCAGGGGTTCCTGTCTCAGGGTGCCTGCACTCTGGATGGAGGAGCAACAGAGACACCTTTAGACAGCAGCATTGTCAATCTGAGGAGAGGACAGTGTTAGATACACTTGAAAATGTAGATGGACTTAAAGGGTAACTCCACTTTCATAGCAAATAACAAAAAAAATATATAGCATAAAGTGACAAAAGTCATACTGTAATGGAATTTTATTAAAAATTACTGTTACTTTTCGATCTGCAGTGCTGTCATTTTCTGTAAAATGCAATAGGGCTATCTGGAGGAGTTCTGTACACAGATGGTGTACAGAGCACTCCACAGAAATGTAATTTCCTGATTGTGTGGTTGGCTCACTGATTTTCCCAGATGTCTGCAGTAAGATACAAGTCAGATTTTTGATATCCCCTGCAACAGAAATTGGTGAGATACTCCCAAAGGGAAATCACATCTAAAGGGATTCAGGCCCTGCCAGTTTTCTCATTAGAGCCCTTCAGGTGCAGCAGCTGATAGATAATTATGAAATCATTCCCATACAGAATCACTCTGCACCTGGACACAGACAAACAAACAGCTATTTCTTCAGAATAACAAAAGGTAGGAATCTGCAACAAACCTTGATAAAATCCTTGCAATGTATGGAGCTCACCCAGAGGGGAATGTTTTTTATTTTCTCAACAAAAGTGACGTTACTCTTTAACCACTTACCTACATGGCACTTATACCCCCTTTCTGCCCAGGCCAATTTCCAGCTTTCAATGCTGTCACACTTTGAATGACAATTGCGCGGTCATGCAACACTGTACCCATATGAAATTTTTTTGAGACAGAGATTTCTTTTGGTGGTATTTAATCACCACTGGGTTTTTTATTTTTTGCTAAACAAACCAAAAGCAACTGAAAAATTTGAAAAAAAATTGTAAAAAAGTGATTAGTCTCCTTCACTGATGTGCACTAATTAGGCTGCAGTGATGGGCACTAATAGGCTGCATTGGTGGACACTGATAGGTGACACTGATGGGCACTGATGAAGAGGCACTGGTAGGTGGCACTGATGGGCATTGACAGGCATCACTGATGGGCACTGAAAGGCAGCACTCATATATGGCACTGAGAGGCGGCACTGACTCGCACTGTTAGGCGGCACTGACTCGCACTGTTAGGCAGCACTGATAGGCAACACTGACGGGCACTGATGTGTACTGATAGGTGGCACTGACTGGCACTGATTAGTGGCACCGATTGCCAGCACTGATAGGTGGCACTGACTGACATTGGTAGATGGCATTGACTGGCACTGACAGGGGACACTGAAAGGCAGCTCACATGGGCACTGATATGTGGCATTGATGTGCACTGGTAGGCACTTATATGTGGCATTGATGTGGCACTGATGGGCACTGGCAGGTGGCATTGATGAGCACTGATAGCTGGCATTGATGGACACTGACAGGTGGCACTGCTAGGGCTACACTGATCATCAGTGCCCTGATGATCAGTGTACATGTCCCCTCTGAGGGATGCCAATTACCGGCTCTCAACTCCTCACGAGCTGTCAGTGTGACAGCTCGTGAGGAGAGGAATGACGAAAGCTTGCATTTCCCTATTTACATGCGATCAGCTGTGATTGGACACAGCTGATCACATGACCGAGCTGACATCTTCGGCTCTTTCCATTGATCGGTGATCTGCTGTATCCGAGGGACACAGCACACCACCGATCGCCACACTGCGTGCCCCCGGAGCCACGCATGCATGGTTAGAGTGGGAGGACATCATATGACATCCTCCCAGAACGAGAGAACCACCTTGTGCCCGTCATTACCTTATATGGCGGGCAAGGGGCTGTTAACCACCTCCCGCCTGACATATAGTTCAATGACGGGCGCAAGGTGGTCCTCTCGTTCTGAGAGGCTGTCTTTTGACGGCTCTCCATTTTCACCGCGCATGCGCGACTCAGGGAGCGCGCGGCGATCGGTGGTGCTCTGTGTCCCTCAGACACAGCGGATGACCGATCACGGAAAGAGCCGAAGATGTCCCATCACAGCTGATCACATGTAAACAGGGAAATGCCGGTTATCGGCATTTCTCTCCTCTCGAGCTGTCACGCTGACAACTCGAAAGGAGAGCCGGTAATCGACATGTACACTGATCATCAGGGCACTGATGATCAGTGTGCCCTGATGATCAGTGTGGCCCCAGAAGTGCCACCTGTCAGTGTCCATCAGTGCCAGCTGTCAGTGTTGAACAGTGCCACGTGCCAGTGCCCATCAGTGCCACATCAATGCCACATATCAGTGCCTTCCAGTGCACATCAATGCCACATATCAGTGTCCATCTGAGCTGCCCTTCAGTGTCACCCATCAGTGCCAGTCAGTGCCACCTATAAATGCCAATTAGTGCTGCCAATTAGTGCCACCTATCAGTGCCAGCCAGTGCCACCTATCAGTGCCAGTCAGTGCCGCCAATCAGTGCGCATCAGTGCTGCCTATCAGTGCTAGTCAGAGCCACCTAACAGTGCTAGTCAGTGCCACCTAACAGTGCCAGTCAGTGCAACCTAACAATGCCAGTCAGTGCCGCTATCAGTACCAGTCAGTGCCGCCTATCAATGTTGCCTATCAGTGCCAAATATCAGTGCTGCCTTTCAGTGCCCATCAGTGATGCCTGTCAATGCCCATCGGTGCCACCTACCAGTGCCTCCTCATCAGTGCCACCTATCAGTGTCCATCAGTGCATCTTATCAGTGCCCATCACTACAGCCTGATTAGCGTACATCAGTGAAGGAGAAAAATCACTTATTTACAAAATTTTATAACAAAAACTAAGAAAAAAACAATTTTTTTTCACAATTTTCAGTGGTTTTTGGTTTGCTTAAGAAAAAATAAAAAACCCAGAGGTGATTAAATACCATTAAAATAAAGCTCTATATGTCACAAAAAAATGCTAAAAATTTCATATGGGTACAGTGTTGCATGACTGCGCAATTGTCATTCAAAGTGTGACAGCTCTGAGAGCTGGAAATTGGCCTGGGCAGGAAGGGGGTATAAGTGCCCTGTAGGTAAGCGGTTAAAGTAGAACTATAGGCAAAACTTTTTTGTTTTCATTTTGGATAGAGATGTTATAACCCGTTAGATTTGTTTTCACAACCTGTCCCATTGTGGAGATTTCCCCTAACTTCCTGTCTTATAACCAAACAAGAAGTGAGAAGAAATCCCTGCACATTAAGGGAATTCCTTGGGGAGCCCCAGGTCACCAGACCTAGTGTCCCCATTGGAAGATTTCCCCTCTATTATTTTTCTGGGGACAATCCAAAATTTGGGATTTTCTTTTACTTTCACTTTCAATAATAATGGTAAAATGGACAAAGACAGAGGTGAATCTCCTTAACGGAGAGCACAGACAGCCTTAATAATTGACAGGTGTTCTAATCCCTCTCTGCTCTATCCAAAATTAAAGAAAACATTTTGCCTTTAGTTATACTTTTTTTTTCTTTTGGGATAAAGATTTTATATAAATGAAAAAAAGCTGAACATTGTAAACACCCCTGTCAGTTTTAAATAGTTGTCTCAACCCTCTAACTGTCACTTTTTCTGGGCAGCTTGTTAAAGGGGAAGTTGTTAAAGGGAAAGTTGGACAGTTGTTAAAGAGGAACAAAAGGTAAAATACTTACCTTAGTTCCAACGGTCTGGCGCTCACAAAGTCCCTCGCCGGCATCTTCTCCCCTGTTCCCTTGGGGTGCTGGTCTTCCTCCACCTTGATTGTCCAACACAGGATGATGTCACTCCCATGCATACGCAGGAATGCAGTCATCCTGTAATACATACAGTGTGCTGAAACATAAACTGAGCTGTGCACATGCAACTCACTGTGCATTCTACAGGAAATTGCAAACAAGTGGGTAATATCATTTTATTGTATGTCTCTTTTGCAATAAAGACCCTGCCTGTACAAAACTGTATGCAATTTTAATTTTTTAAAGTTGTAAAGGCTCAAGGTTTTTTACCTTCATGCATTCTTTACATGAAGGTAAAAAACCTTCTGTGTGCAGCAGTGCCCCCAGCCCCCTCAATACTTACCTGAGCCTCATCGCGATCCAGCGATGTGCACGACAGCCTTGTTTGTCCTGAGTCTGTGCTTCCTTATTGGCTGAGACAGCTGCTATCAATCACAGCCAGCCAGTCAATGAGGAGAGAGGGGGGCACATGGAGCAGTGGTTTGGGAACACACCTACGTGGGTGTCCCCATAGCAATCGGCTTTCTATGGGGGCACCCAACAGAAAGGAGGAGCTAGGAGTGCCAGCAGGGGACCCGAGCAGAGGTTGGTCTGTTCCAGGCTGCTCTGTGCAGAACCACTACATGGATCAGGTAAGTATTGCATGTTTGTTATTTTATTAAAAAAAAATTAACATTTAGTATCGCTTTAACTTTAGTTTTAAAGGAAGTTAAAAAATACAGATTTGTTGGCTGGATCAACAGGTGAAAAAAATACAGTAGTGTGATAGTCAGTGGGAAGAATGCTCCTTAAATTAGTGGACATTAGGAAGCATTACTCCATTACAGATAGCTAGAAAGATCAGTTGTGTCAGTGGGAAGTTATCAAAGAGGCAGAAATTGCTCATTGCTCAAGGTAACCCTAGCAATCTCTAAAGGAACCCTAGGATCCCATGGAACCCTGGTTGAGAAACCCTTCAGTAGACCATAGTCAGTATTACCAGTGCTCTATGTTTAGTTAAAATAAATGAATCAAACACAATTTACATACAGTATATATACATGTATCTATTGATAGGTGAGTTGCAGCAGTGGGAACCTGGAAAAGTTGTTTTAATTGAGGGGGTTTTGGCACTGAAAACAAGTGTCAAGCTTACCTCCTACATTGTAAGTGAGGACACTGAGGGCCCATCTGCATCCTAAGAAAGAGTGGAGAAGAGGACTGACCTCCATTGGAGTGAGAAATAAGGCTAGTATTGTGCGTATTCCAATCCCTCAAGTCCAAACAGGTATCTAGGAATGTGGGGGCTTCAGTGTAGGGCAAGATTTTAGAGATAATCAGTGGCTAAATGGTTAGTACTTCTGCCTGGCAGCACTAGGGTTGTTTGTTTGAATCCCTTCCTGGAGTTTGCATGTTCTCCCTGTGCTTGCGTGGATTTTCTCCCACACACTCTGACAACATACTAGTAGGTTAATTGGCTCTTGTCTAAATTGGCCCTAGTATGGCTAAGTATGAATGTGAGTTAGGGATCTGAGATTGTAAGATCCTTGAGGGTTAGGGACTGATGTGAATGTATAATATATATATATATATATATATATATATATATATAAAAAGCGCTGCATAAGTTGACGGTGCTATAGAAGTACCTGTAATAAAATAATAAATATTCAAAACTCAGTTTTCACCTTTGGGCCATGTTAGATGGGTGATTTATTGGCAGCAATCCTCTTTTTTTCTTCTGGCTATGGAAATTATAGTTATGTACTATGGAACTGCATAGTTGTATAATTGTTAAGGATGAATGAGGAGACTGTTCCATCCAGTTCAACCTGTGTATGTGCATATGTTCAGGAGCTCTGCCAGTGACAAACACTCTGTATTCATGGCCAACTAAAATTAGCTGAACTAGTAGCATGCTAACATAATGATTGAGCATGATTCCTAGCTGTGAACAATCACCAATGATTGTAGAGAGTGCATTGCTAGCTACAAATTATTGTTAATTGCTGGCATTACAGAGTTGTAGCATTGAGGAATCCCTGTTCCAAAACTACCTCTGACATTGCCCATACCCAAGCATCAGACCAAGCCTTTTCTGACACTTTTTGTTTACATGTAATAATCAGTATTTTTTGCTAGAAAATTTCTTAGAAGCCCCAAACATTATATATATATATATATATATATTTTTTTTTTAAAGCAGATGCAGTTTATGTTACGTGGTATTTGCACGGGAGTTTTTCACAATTTCTTGGGGGAAAAAATACAGTGCAAAAAAACATAATCCATAACTGGATTTTTGGTAAAAATAAAAGACGATGTTACGCCAAGGAATTAGATACCAAACATGTCACACTTTAAAATTTTGCCCTCCCGTGCAACAACGACAAACAACGTCTATTTTACTATCCATAGGCGGCGCTTTAAAAGCCTTTACAGGTTATGACTTTAGATTTACACAGTTTGTCTGTTGCTAGAATTATGGGCCATGATCTGACATTTGCAGTGATACCTCATGTGTGGGGCGATCGCTGTTTGAATTTTTTTTTTTCACTTTCATTGCTGTCACAAGAAATGTGTCATCCCTTGTGACAGGTACTCTTTATGGAGAGATCTGGGGTCTATAAGACCCCTGAATCCTCCTCTCCCCTTAAAAGCATTTGATCACAGCAATCTTTACATTTTTAAAAATGGTGCCACTTACATCCAGGGACACTGAAAGTGATGTAGGCTCATCCTGGTATAACCATTTGAAGTCCAGTGATGTACTGATACGTCACTGGTCCGCAAGTGGTTACCATAAGAATGACCACGTAACCTATTCCCATAACATCTGTTCAGCTGAAACATTTTAATTTTTAGTTTTTGATAGACTAGGGAAGAGGTAGCACCCCTATCAGGGTATTTTTAACTGTCTTTGTCCCACTGGGGGAGTTTATTTAATTTCCTGCTCTGGAGATGCAACTGGAACTGAGAATAAATCTTCAAAAAAAAAAAAAAAAATGGTTACCATCGTAGACAGCTGTCATAGGAAAATGTACCCCCAATAGATGATTTAAGCTTACCTCTTGCTCTGGCGACAGTAGACACCAGGACAAACCGAGGGGTGAGTCTATTCAGCAAGGACACAGACAGCAACATATACTTGACAGATTGCCGAACCCTCCCCTGCTTTATCCCAAAATGGAAAAAAAGGTTTACTTTAACGCAGACCTCCATGAGCACATGTACTGAGCTTCCTTTCATTCCACTGCCACTTCATTCACCAGCCAGATGTGAAAGCAAAGCCTTGTGTAAGCTACAAGTTGCCTAAATCGTCACACAGGGCAATGGAGTTCCCTGTGATATCGCTAATTGGTCACAACTTGAACTACAGTGGATATAAAAAGTCTACACACCCCTGTTAAAATGTCAGGTTTCTGTGATGTAAGAAATGAGACAAAGATAAAGCATTTCAGAACTTTTTCCACCTTTAACGTGACCTATAAACTGTACAACTCAGTTAAACAACAAACTGAAATATTTTAGGTGGAGGGAAGTAAAAATTATAAACTAAAATAATATGGTTGCATAAGTGTGCACACCCTTAAACTAATACTTTGTTGAAGCACCTTTTGATTTTATTCCAGCACTCAGTCTTTTTGGGTATGAGTCT